CAGAAGACTGAAAAGAAGACATGTGTTAGATCTCCCATTTCTTACATAATATTTAATATTAATTAAAAATTGTAATTATATAATATTGTTAAATCCACTGGGATTTAACTACTCTGTCCATATCTAAGAATTTATTAAATTTGCTGAATGTTTATTGTAAATAGATTGCAAATAAAAATAATGTTTAAAAAAATCACCTAAATATTCATTGGCGTTCTTTGGTTTTGAGTAACCTTCGAATACTCCAATTAACAAAACCTCATTGTGTGATGGTAAATTTCCAAGTATGGGCCAAATCTGTTTCGATGAAATTTTGCACAAAGGTAAATCATCAATATTGACATCCAATTCGATTACGTCATTCTTATAACCGGGATTTTTCAACAAAGTCTGTGAGACAGTCTTTTAACCCATAATGAGTGTATAATTCCCCTCCAATACTACGAATGCATACTTCGTTTGGAGTTCGTTTTAATGTCCTGCATTCTTTAGGTACATTGATTCCTTCTTCTCTTAACAAGACCAAGAGCTAATTAAGTGCGTTATGACTTACATAATTTTGGATTGCCCATTCAGATATTTTTTTCGAAAAAGATTCATTTTTCGAAGTTGTGCATTCAGTTTTATCTTCGCCGTCATATTCACATTTACTATTTTCCGAACTGTCATTTACATTAAAATCATCAAGTCCAAAAACACCTATATCATTGCCTTCTGATGTTCTAATTTGCTTACCTTTTGCGGTGGATTTATGATGTTGCATTCAGTTGACTTTGGGAAAAAGTTTGAAAATAATTCAGATGCCTCCCTCTTGCTTCTCAATTCAATTGCCTTTTTTGATGTAGAGCTCATGTTTTCTTTGAATGATGAATGCGCCAAATGATATTTCTTTACTTGTACTTATAACCAAAGAGTTATACATCCATGACCTTAAATCTACATTACACGTGAATTATATTTTTCTGCACCTCTCTATATTATTTGATACAGCAATCAAAAATGTTTCAGGCCGAAGATTTTTTATTATGAAAATGAAGTATTATCCACAAATTTTTTCGATGACAAATATTTATAGAATGACAGTTATATCCAAGGGTTGGTTTGTTGAATTTTTGTTTCATATTATAGTTTAATTTCATATATTAAATCAAATTAGATTTTTTCCCAATGGGATGGAATGTTGGCGCAATATAAAGATGGTTACGGAAATGAGAATATTCTGCACTTGGTAGTTAAATCTCCATTGTTTTAATCGTTTATCAATTCTGCAAATTCACATTTACACTTAAGGAATCTGAATTAAGGTCTGAGCGGAATGGACATTGGAAATAAAACTGTTCTAAGGCAAACATGATAAATGAGAATGAGAAACATATTTAAAATAATACCCTGACAACATAGTTGTGTATGGTATAAATTGTTTACTATTTGTGTTAATTACGAAGCTATCGAATTTCCTTCTTCTTTCATTTAACTAAGTACATAGTTACTACAGACGATCGAAATTGGATAACAATTCATTTGTTATTGTAAAATTACGAAGTATCACCCTTTTACAAAAAATAAGAGTCAAAGTAGATAATTATTTGAAGATGGAGTTAGAAACTCACTTCCAAATGCTTGCAGGGAATGCTGGTATAGTGTGTGGGGCCTTTAACATTTTGTAACTATTGATACAAAATATCGAGTACGCAGACAGACTTAATGTTATCAATGCCGTTGTCAAAACTTACTATGGTTATTTTTTCGAATTCAATATACTTTTTTAGTCGGTGTTTTTTTTTAGTTAAAAAGATAAATAAACCAGTTTGTAATATTCCAAAGTCATGGAATAATTGCTATGGATATATTTTTCATGAAAATATTAATTACTTATACAGCCTTATTCTGGATGCCAATTCCACGTGAATTTACTCGCTCTTCCCCTTCGACTTATTCTGAACAACATTTTCCTGTGAATTTTTTCGAATTCTCGCTTTCGCCTTATTCTGAATGAAGTTCAAAAGCGAAAAATCCGCATTGAGGAAAAATTAGGTATTCTGGATTACAGGGAGTAGGAGAATGAGATGAAATTTTGTGCGAAATCGCTAATAAATTCAAAGGGAGTTGACTACAAAAACATAAGTAATAAATATTTTTATGAAAAATATTTACACAATACTTATTCTATGACGATTCAGAATATTATAAATGATAGTAAGCAATTTTTTAACTGGAAAACAACAAATAAAATGTCATTGGAAATCCTATTGATAACGATGCATGCTGAACCAAATATTGCCAAGGAATGTATAAAGGTAATAAAGAATATTTAAGTCGAGTTTGATGCATTTTGAGGCGAAATACGTACATTTTGAGTGAGGATTTGTCTCTCAAGAAAAACAATTTTAAAAATTATGGAAAAATCAAATTAGCCTGATGAGCCGCTTAACAGAGAAAAACTTAAATAAAAATTATGAAAAAACAAAAAAAGCTAAAAAATATATTTTTTTTTTCAAAATTATCGTGTGCATGATTTGAAGAAAGAAATAAAGGAGTAGGAGCAAATCATAACCACTTTAAGAATTTGGGGAGATAAAATATCCAAAATAAATAAAAAGGTACACACTTATGTAGTGAAATAATAAACAGTGAATTAATTAATTCAATCGCCGATTTCTTCCGATTATTCGTAGTGATTTTGCCATCTTAAAAAATCTTCTTTTATTTGTAATCTATTATAAGGTGTGTCTGGCTACTTTTTCAGTAACATTTATTCAGTAAGTTCTAGAGAGTAAGCCGTTTTTACTCTCTTTTGCGATAGTACTGAGAAAAGTAAACAGACAGCATTTAGTAAGATTTAGCAAATAAACAGCTGATTCAAGAAAACATTTGATTTGCGCCAAAATAAACAAACAAACAAACACAATTATTTGTATTGCATTTAATATTAAAAATAAAATGAACAATAAAAGAAAAATTGATTTGGTATGTTCATCGGGAACATTTAAGCTCCCTGCATCAATACATTGCCCTCTATCTGGAACTTGCCTAAAAATATATAAGGAATTAGTTTCTAATTTAATGAAACTTTGCATTATTTACGAATTTTCTTCCATTTTCAGTAATTTTTATACAACTTAACTTCAAATTGAACTTTGCAAATTAAAAAAATGTTTTGAATAATTTTTGTGTTTGGTCATAAAACAGCTGATCGAAAAATGCTGAGTTGGCAAAATCTTACTGAATAAAATTCTTGCAGTAAACTCCAGTAAGTTTGTTGTTGTTGAACTTGCTCTCTCACTTGACTGGATTTTTGTGTAAACAGACAACATTTAGTAACATTTGGTAACAATTGTTACCAAATATCGAGTAAACAGACAGAGCTATAGTTGTTGCACCAAATTGCATCAAAACAATGAACAGCTGTTTCACATGTCATATTGTAGGTTGTCAGATTTTTAAACTTTATTTTCTTTTAATTACAAAGCCTTTATACAACGGATTATTGATATTTCACATTTGTATTCATGGTATAATAATAAAGGTAACAGCAAGTGTTGTTGTACAACAACCACATGGACATTTGTTTTTGTAAGTTATACTAGTGTCAACATCATTTGACTGAAAAATGTAAACAAACAAACAAATTATGTATATTTATTTTGAAAATAAAATATTTTCGAATCCTCAAAATAAAATTTGAAAAACATGAATGAAAATCTATCAAATTTATATTTATATAGCTTCCACATCTTCCGTATAATTGAGCCGTTGCCACTTATTTGTGTAGCACATATGAAAATGCAGAGAATTGCGAGTTATTCAATGAAGAAAGATTTGCTTCCTCAAACTTTCCCAGCAGGCAGATTGAGTAAATTGAATACGGGAGGACATTTAATAAAGAACAATTTCGATTTGTATGCGTTCCCAATTTTTCTGTTGGGTGATTTTAAAAAACATAATTTGTCAAATACATATTGACACTAGTAATACGTTGGAATCAAATCAGTTGGGACTTGCTGTTACCTTTTATAATTGTACCATGATTTGTATTGTTATAAAGTTTAAATAACTATAAAAAGTAGATATTTTTAATAATAATAGTCAATAAATAAAATATTGAAAACTATTACAAAATTAAATTACAATGGGGCAACACACATTGCAACTTAAATTACAACACAAATCTTTTTTCAACCACCATTTTCGAAAACTTGAATCCGCATCTCGCATTTTTTGCGTCTCCCTATTCATTCAGAATAAGGCGAGAATGTGAAAGCGAAATTTTTTTACATGCGAGATATCTCCCAGCGAATATCCAGAATAAGGCTGATAGTTTTAGTAATCTCTCTTAATTTACTAGCGAAAAATTTCGCACAAATTGTCATCACATTTTCCTCCTACCTTTCACTCAGAATAACAAAATTTTTCATTCAAATGTTATTGCAGTTAAATTGATCACTCACTCATGGGTTTAGTCCAAATATACGTCAGCGATTACTGGTATTACATATCTTGTTATTAATAACAAATATACAGTATTTACCGCTTATATGAACTCAAATTTTAACAAACACAGATGTGCTTATGCGCCATAATTACTGTACACTAAATATATAAAACATATTTAATTTCATGAAAAAAGGTAAAAGAGGCTATTGTTTACTTATAATTTTGAGTTTATTCATTTGTAACATTGTTTTCTTCCTCCAACAACAGCCATAAATTGCAATTGCGCCATTTGTTGTAATGCACAAACGTTTAAATGCATATCAATGCATTATTCTTTATGCTACATGTGTATATATAAAAATCATATAATTGATTATTATTATTGTTAAACAAAATATTACAATCCAAGGCCAATCTTAAGAAATGAAAAAATAAAATAGAAATAACACAAACATCCAAGGACCCTGCTAAAACATGCGTTGTTAACTAATACTAAGAATATGTGAGTGCTTTATAAAGCACAGTTTAAATAAAATATAAAGTTTGATTGTTTCTTTTTTTGTTTTGTTTAATAAATACGAGTCAAAATTAGGAAATTAGCTACATCATGGGGCATTGAGGGTTGCCAGCAGCAGCACCAGCAGCTGCGGGGTCAAGTACTGGCAAATCACCAGCGGTTTCGGCTAAGATTTCTTCTGGTGGTTGACCATATTCCTGCAATTTACGCATATCCTCTAGGACAACACGGAATTTGTCGCGCTTTTCCTTGGCCGTATCATTGGGATTTTCATTTTCTAAATGACCTTCGATAATTTTGTACAATTCCAATTGTTTCTCGTAACGTTCCTTATCTTCGGCTGATATTTTACTGCCGTTTTCTTCCAAATATTTGGGATATTTTTCCAAAAGTTCCTTAATGCTGGGTAGTAGAATTTCAGCTGAGAGTAGTGATTGCATCATACCTTCCATGAATGGTAGGAACATGTTACCATCATCGGAAGCAGCCTATTGGAAGGGAAAAACAAAAAATACAAAAGAAAATGGAAATTAAAATATTTGATATGTATATCAGAGTGTCAGCTGATCAATAGGCATTGTTGTTGTTACTTAGTTTATAATATAATTAGCAACTCATTACTAAATGCTAATATTACGAGACCGAAATTGAATTCAATATAGTGTCGCAAAATGGACAATTTATATTTATACTCGACAAAATGAAAATGATATCCCTCATATCCTGTGTATTCTTTCCCATTTTATTGTCTGCCTTTATTTAATTTATACAAAGAGCGTAATTGGTAATGCTTGTTGGTCTTTATCGCGCCCTTTAATGTCTAAAGGTTCTTTGAAACCTATTTCCTTATCATTCCCAAATGTGGAAATCTTATCTTAAATAATATGATTTGGATTGGAGATTATCTACAAATATAATTGTTGATAATAAAAAAGTTCATATTTAATGCATTTTAAATGAATTTAGCAATACGATTTGAGTGTAGCCAAAATACACATACCCTATATACGCAATTACATCAGCTTTTGTTATGCTTCTGTTTATAACAATATCAAAGTAAATTAACTTGCTGACAGACTGATTGAGGTGATCGATCTTTAAAACCACCAATAAGCTTCTATATCATATTTAAGGTGAATCGAAAATGATTGATAGAGTATTTCAAATGCAACCACAGTGTAGTACCATCAAATCTATTTGGTCGGCGACTGCACTACCTAGAGCCTATGCTAAAATCACACAGATAATTATTATCACACAGTAAAATTAGATCTCTAAAATCGAAATGTAAATACAAGTAGGGTAAGTGCACCAATAGTCGGCACTTTAAGAATTTTCGCTTTTTAAACGTTTCACCATTCCAAGTGCATATTTTACACGATATTGTATTTACGTTCATCTGTTTCGAAATTTTGTTTACTCCCCGATGGAATACAAATTTGTTTAATTAACATGTACTAAATTAGATTAAATTAATAATTATGTAAAATAGTGCCATTGTGCCAATAGTCGGCACATTTTTCCAATTGTCGCCATATTATGTTCCAATAGTCGGCATGTCACATTGTAGTTAAAAAAAATTATATAATTAATTGATTTTTCTGCTATTTGCAATAATAAATTATTACGATTGGACGTTTCCACCAGTGTTTTATTGAAAAAGTTATATAAAATAATATTATTTAAAATATTACAATTATAAAACATGGTGCCGACATAGGGAACCTGTTATCCAATTCTCGGCATGGCTAAATAAGACATTTCAGAAGTTAAAAGTATTTGAGATTAAAATCGTGTCTTCTATTATATAAAACACTCAAAACTAATTTTTTATAAGATAATCGTTATTTAGAGGACTTATTTAACATTTTTTCCCATTTTGAGCCAAAATGATCGAAAAGGTGGTTATTATTCACCCATATGCCGACTATAGGAAAACCTTAAATTTTTTTGTTCCTAAGGTCGGCATCGATAAAAATATTATTATTAGAAATATTTTTTAATGATTTTAAATACTAAAGTATTCTCCTCTATGTTCTTTTCAATAATGAAAAAGATCCTTGTGAAAAAATATAATTTTAATATAATTACAAGTCTTTTGAAACCGTCATGCCCACTATTTTTTATACCCTTCACCACACTGTGGTACAGGGTATTATGTCTTTGTGCATATGTTTGTAACAGGCAAAAATAATCGAGATAGACCCATGGTTCCTTTTGAGAATATGCATAGAATCACTTTCTGAGTCGATTTATGCATGTCCGTCCGTCCGTCCGTCCGTCTGTCCGTCTGTCCGTCTGTCCGTCTGTCTGTCCATGTTAAATTGTAAACAAAGTACAGGTCGCATTTATGATCCGAATTGGATGAAATTTGGCACAAGTCACTTATTTGGCCCAAGGACGAACCCTATTGAAATTGGGAAAAATCGGTTCAGATTTAGATATAGCTCCCATATATATATTTAACCGATTTAATGTAAACGGTCCCTATATATCTTTCGATTTGCACGAAACTTGGTACAGCCTAATCATTTAGGTCTAGAATGATGTCTGCCAAGTTTCGTGAAAATCGGTCCAGATTTAGATATAGCTCCCATATATAGTTTCGTCCGATTTCATGTAAATGGTGCACCAAAGTCCCTATATATCATTCGATTTGCACGAAATTTGGCATAACGTAATGAATTAAGCCTAGAGTGATGTCTGCCAAGTTTCGAGAAAATCGGTTCAGATTTAGATATAGCTCCCATATATAGTTTCGTCCGATTTCATGTAAATTGTGCCCCAAAGTCCCTATATATCTTTCGATTTGCACGAAATTTGGCATAACGTAATGAATTAAGCCTAGAGTGATGTCTGCCAAGTTTCGAGAAAATCGGTTCAGATTTAGATATAGCTCCCATATATAGTTTCGTCCGATTTCATGTAAATGGTGCCCCAAAGTCCCTATATATCTTTCGATTTGCACGAAATTTGGCATAACGTACTGAATTGAGCCTAGAATGATGTCTGCCAAGTTTCGTGAAAATCGGTCGTGATTTAGATATAGCTTCCATATATAGTTTCTCCCGATTTTAGGTAAATGGTGCACCAAAGTCCCTATATATCCTTCGATTTGCACGAAATTTGGCATAACGTACTGAAGTGAGCCTAGAGTGATGTCTGCCAAGTTTCAAGAAAATCGGTCCAGATTTCTATATAGCTCCCATATATACTTTCGTCCGATTTCATGTAAATGGTGCGCCAAAGTCCCTATATATCTTTCGATTTGCACGAAATTTGGCATAACGTACTGAATTGAGCCTAGAATGATGTCTGCCAAGTTTTGATAAAATCGGTTCAGATTTAGATATACCTCCCATATATAGTTTCGTCCGATTTCATTTAAATGGTGCCCCAAAGTCCCTATATATCTTTCGATTTGCACGAAATTTGGCATAACGTACTGAATTGAGCCTAGAGTGATGTCTGCAAAGTTTTGATAAAATCGGTTCAGATTTAGATATACCTCCCATATATAGTTTCGTCCGATTTCATTTAAATGGTGCCCCAAAGTCCCTATATATCTTTCGATTTGCACGAAATCGTTCTGAATTAAGCGTAGAGTGATGTCTTCCAAGTTCCGAGAAAATCGGTCCAGATTTAGATATAGCTTCCATATATAGTTTCGTCCGATTTCATGTAAATGATGCACCAAAGTCCCTATATATCTTTCGATTTGCACGACATTTGGCATAACGTACTGAATTGAGCCTAGAATGATGTCTGCCAAGTTTCGTGAAAATCTGTCCTGATTTAGATATAGCTCCCATATATAGTTTCGCCCGATTTTAGGTAAATGGTGCACCAAAGTCCCTATATATCCTTCGATTTGCACGAAATTTGGCATAACGTACTGAATTGAGCCTAGAGTGATGTCTGTCTTGTTTCACATTCACATTTAGATAAATATCACATATTTTATTTCATCCAATTTCATCTTAATAGTCCTGTTTAATATACCCATAGTGGTGAAGGGTATCATATAGTCGGCCCCGTCCGACTTTACTACTTTCCTTACTGGTTTTTTCTTAAGAAACATGAAGTATCGCTAGTGTTGACAAACCTCATTCACCAAATGCCAATTTTTGACTGAATAAATGAACTTAGCTCGATGAAATTTTATACAGAGATACATTGCAGTGTCATTGAAGATTATTCAAGGTATTTTTCATATTTAGTTATAGGATTTTTTAGTTATTTGAAGTTATATAAAACAGATGCCGACTATTGGTACATGCCGGAATTAGGTGCGTTTACCCTATATGGTTACGCAGGCAACGCCCTTACTACAGTTAATCTGTTTACTCACATATATGGAATAGACCAGAAAGAACGCAGTGGAATCTTTTTTTTTTTTAATATTTCGAATATTAAAAAAATAAAAAAAAAATAAACCCTTTGTGGCCCAATGGTGCCCACAGGTTTAAATTATTAGAATATTCAAAACCGAAATTCCATATACGAGTCAACCATCATACGGGGCTTTTATATAAACAAGGGAAATTGTGTATGTATACAAATACGGCAAACTTGGGCATAAATATATATATATATATATATATTATATTCCTATATATTACTATTCAAAACTTTCATGGCCCTATGATACCTTTTTCATCTATGGATACGTATCATCACTTCAAATACATATGCAAATATCGGTTAGTTACTTAGTCAACAAACGTTTTGTTTGTACTATAATAATTGCACTGCCCCAACCTTTTTTCCTATTTACCTATTTAAAGCACAATGCAACTGATTAGTATTCTAAATTAATGCATATACACTTACACTATCCAGACTTAAACCACCAAACATATTGGCAACATCATTTTCTGAGACAGGTGCAGTTAAGTTATCGGTGCCTTCTTGCAGACCCTTCAAAGCCTGTGCTATGCTGTCGGAATATTTGGCAACCTCTTCATCGCTGGCAGTATTTTCACCTTGTAACGTCTTGGCAGCGGCTTCGGCCATTTTCTTAAAACCAGCCATAATTTGTTCGGGATCTTGTGGCAAGGGTGCAACATCGCCTGTGGGTGTATCGGGACCGCCGAACAATGTGTTCATACGTTCAGCCAACAACTTGGCCTGTTCCCTATGATAATCGAATTCAGAATACAATTAAAAAATCAAACTAAATCACAATAAATTTTTGCATAGACATACAAAAAGAATTCCTCTGATTCTGGATTGCCTTCGGCACCATCTTGAGCAGCATTCGAACCATCGCCATTGGCCGTTTGTTTGTCATCCTTTACGAAATCTTGCAGGGCATCTTGAATTTGAAAGAGATTTATTTAATAACATCGATTACATAATTTTTTATTCATATTTCTGGTGTTAATGAAATCTTTGTCGCAGTCGCAATTCTATTTCGACTCGTCTGCCTGTTTGTCTGACTGCAGCAGCATGGTAAGTGAGCGATGTGATCATTGGACTGCCTTGTTATGTCGACACTGCCGACATTTCAATGTTGTTGTTGCGTTTGTTCTAAACTTACTATCCAGCAATTCGTTGAGATCGTTGTCATTGGGTTTTTGTTGATCGGCCATGGCACGTGATTATTTGGGAAAGATTTAAAACAATTATTTCGAAATATTGAAGGAAAATATTAACTACTCTTTCCCCGGCTGCTCAAAGATTCTTTCACTCAGAAATGAATGAAGTGAATGAATTAGGGATACCTAAGTCGACTTTCGTCTTTTTGCATTGGAAATTTTAAAGTGATGTACACACAATGATGCAATAATAAGGTGTTATACAAGAGCCAATTAGCACAAAAACAGATGTTTTTTGTCAGAACACCTATCAAATTTATAACTAAGGCGCAAATAATTTTTATTTATGGAATAATAAATCTGTCTGTGTACTCGATAATAAGTAACAATTAGTATGGAATTGACGTTTGAGATCGAGTGGATTTCGTAAATCTAAACGTACTTTTACCCCTGACAGACCAGAATTTCTGCGTTTACGAAGCAGTTTTTTGCTTCAAAACAATTGTTTGTCTGTGTGTAGGAGGAATATATTGAAATTTGTTCGGAATTACAACTTACATATACATGACATAAAGGGAAACAGCAAAACAGTTCCCAATTTGAAAGAATGTTAAAATTTGTGTTTATTTCTCATATTTATTTTCATAAACGTAAGCGTTGCCATACTTTATGAGGATTTATTTGACATACATACAAAGGAATTGACAATTGAAACCCACTGGGTTAACGAAATCCGGTTAAATGAAAAAGTACTATTAGAATTGGTTGCCATTGCATCTAAAAAAATCTAAAAATTGAAATGCATTTTAAATAATTGAATTTTAGTTCCGAATTATGGGAGAGTATTTTAAGGAGAAGAAGAGGCATGCAAATAAAGATCGCAATACAAATAATATTCAATTCAAGTTTTACCAAAATTACATTAGATTTGAATGTTTGAACGCAAAGAAGTAGTTCAAAATTACGAAGGACAATAGGCCAAAAATTGCGAAATTGGGAAGAAAAAAGGAAGGAAAAAAAGAAAACAAACTTAATATTTGTATCAAAGTAATTATCACATTGTGTAGGAGAGTACAGAGAGAAGTATATCACAGTTGAATTTTGGTTTCTTTAATAAATTGAATGAGGAAAGTATATGGGGTGGGATCTTTAGATTGTAGGATATGATTCAGTCCATGTTGTAGGATAGATTCGGTCCACATATTCACCAGCCGCCTGTTTTGCCAGCCAATCAGTTTCTTCGTTAATTTGTATGCCTCTGTGGCCTGGAATATTCATGACATTTATCAATTGATGCCTTTACACGGTGGTCTGTGAAGACCACACATTTCTCACATCCATCCTCAGCCGCAATATCAAGAGATTTTTTAACCGCGAAAAGCTCATTAAACGTGGAAGAGGACTTGAAATCGGTGGTGAATTCATTTACCGAAGATAACGAACTTATTACCCTTGTTGTAGGAGAGTTCACGATTGAAAATAGAAGAGATAATTTCATCAGAGGTGTTGAGTTTATTAGATGGTAGAATCATATATTACAGTTAAAGATTGCTGACAGGAAAATGTGCACTTTTTGATTTTCTGAAAAATGTCAGAAACCTCATGATAAACAGCAATGTAGCTAGATTTTACTAGAGGGTTATTTGATATATCATTGCTGTTGCTCCAAATGATTTTGATAATTTCTTTGGCAGTGAGAAGCTTAGCCCTATATTTCGGAGGTAGGTCACCAGCCAACGCATAGATCATCTCGTTCTGTAGACGTTCAATGCCTTTGTTTACATATGCCGACGAGTTAGCCGTTATCGTTCTTCCATATTCAATTTTTGACCTTACAAGCGCCTTGTGTACATTCAGCGATACCTTCGGATGTAAAACAGCGGGGGTGGCCGACAGTTTCCCTGAGGCACATCATCTGTCACATCAAGCTTAAGAGTTCTTTTCGTCAAAAAATTTATGATCCAGCTTGAAATCTGATCTTCAAAGCCATGATTTTTAAACTGTTGTGCTAAGATTTCTAATCGCACACAATTATATGCAATGCTGATATCAAGCAAAAGGACAAGAAATTCATAATTATTGACCTTAAGGAGTGCTGAGAAACTTTTTTGTTTGCAAAAGATCTAGAAGGAATTATGTTATTTATCCCCATATGACTCAGCATTTTATCATTGAGCATCAGATTTATACATTAAATAAACACCGCTACTCGGTACTTGATGTTTAAGATATTCCAAATACGCCATTTTTTGCGATGTTCATAATCCTAATTTTTAGCAGAGCCAGACATGTACTCATTCGAATGCCGTTGAAATAATTTTTAAATCGGACAAAAATATATGTATATGGGAGGTATATCATTCTGGACTCAATTCAGAACACTATGCAAAATTTCGCGCAAATAGAAAATAGCAAATAGTCTTTGGTGCACCAATTACATAAAATCGGACAAAACTATATATGTGAGCTATATCTAAATCTTAACCGATTCTCTTGAAACTTAACACACGTCATTTTGGACCTAATTCAGTATCCTTGGCCAAATTTTGTACAAATCGAAAGATATATAGGGACGTTGGTGCCCCTTTTACCTTAAATCGGGCGAAATTATATACAGGACCCAATCTAAATATTAAATGATTTTCTTCAATCGTCTTTGGGCCATATAAAAGTGGGTTGATATGGATTGAATATTAAAGAAATTGGCAAATTACATGATTCTATTGTAATATGATTTGCTTTTTCATTCGTGATTTAAGAATTATTTGTCAAATTGTGTGGACGCCTACGCCACAAAGAGAACTTTTTTTAATTTTTTTGACAATTAATGCAAGAACTCAATTGTCTTCGACTGTCGCTTGATAACGCAGGGTTACAAAATAATTTCTTATCATTTAAGTCTTCAAATACATATATGCAAAGTTACAAGACTTAAATCATGAATCGCGTTCAATTGCCAGCTATTTGAAAATCACCGAAATTTCAAATTGCGATTGGAGGATATCCTTAACATGTTCGAAATACGTATTGACGGTATCGACTATTTGCATAGTAATTATCTCTTATGTATTGTAATTATTGGTCATGACTGTAGCATAAATAATTTTTGTCAATTTCGACAAAAAAACTGTCATAATAAATAAGTGTCATCTATTGTCACATCAAAACAGTGTTGTGATGGTGGTGATATTTGCTAATCAGTTTTCCATTTTAACCTGCAGGTGTCACTTCAGTACGGTGCTGGCTGGCTAATGCAACAACTGTTGACTGGTGACTCGTTTCTGTTACAACAATAATTCATTTGTTTCATTTGTTTGTTTTAAAATAAATTGTTGTATGAAAAAATTCCAAAAAAGAACATATTTATAAAATTTAACAAAATTGTGTACATAAGTTTACCCTTGAGGTATATTTGGTTGTGGTGATAGAGTTGCGTTTTCAACGTTATATTACGTTTACAATTAACCGGATTTCGTTAATCCAGTGGGTTTCAATTGTCAATTCCTTTGCATATATGTCAAATAAATCCTCATAAAGTAGGTTAACCCGGTAAAAAGTTCTAATGCCGTTTTATAATCATAAGTGGGGCTTTGTATCAAAATATTTTTTTCTGCAAAGACATTCTTCATCTTTCAAGAACCTGGAATGTCAAATTACAGCACCTTCGGTTAGAAATTGCTGCCAAAATCTTCAAAACACCAATAAATTGGGGCGGTATTGTTATATCGGGCCCTTTAAAAAATGTTGGTCGAAATCCTTCTTATACATTACCATCTTAATCATGATTTCAACAGACAGACAGTTCAAAAACGTAACATAACATTGGGGCTACGTAAACATATACCCCGAAGCTGTCCTTTTGTATCATTACAAAAACTATTTTATCTCGAACTGAATTTAAATTCGCATTCTTTAAAGGAAGCAAACAAATATAACACCTTTTTGTTGTAAGTATTCTCTTGTTATGTCGACACTGCCGACATTCAATTTTGTTGTTGCGTTTGTTCTAAACTTACTATCCAGCAATTCGTTGAGATCGTTGTCATTGGGTTTTTGTTGATCGGCCATGGCACGTGATCAGTGCTGCCAGTTAAATTTTATGAAAAATCGTCAATTTTTCAGAAAAAAATCGGCATAATCGGCATTTGTATTTTTAAAAATCGGCAAAAAATCGGCAGCATATAATTTATAAATAAATTCATATTTTTTTGGTTTATAACAAATCAATATTGTTTATTACATTAAAAAAAGATAACAAATTCAATTCTGTATAAAAAATAACATAAAAGATTCATTTTTCTACAAAAATTTAGATTTTTCTAAAATATATTAATTATGGTATGGTGTGGTATTAAGGTCATAAAAATAACTTTAAAACTAGTACATATTTGTATTACACATTTTTAATAATTCATTATCAATTTTGATATTAAAACAATTTGAATTATTTAGTTTGAGGTAATCTTTAGAATAAAGAATCCCTTCCAATGAATCATTCTCAAGTGAGCTTCTAATTTTAGTTTTGTTAAGGTTTACCTGACTAAAAATTCGTTCCACATTTGCTGTGGAGTGTGGAAGAACCATAATTCTTTGTACAAATTTAGACAAAACTGGAAAAGCTAAATTGGAGTCCCCACGTTTAATTTCGGAAATTAAAAAAAAAACTTTTTAAATTATATTCTGCATTTTCAAAAATTTCTTCAAAATTCTGAAAGTTTAACTTCCTAAACTCGGAGTCTAAAGATTGCCTCTCAGTTTCAAAAATAAAATCGGGGAATTCTTTTAAAATATCTAGAAAAGAATTATTGCCCTTCTTCATTACTCTTCCAGGATCAATAAGTTTTAAGCATTGAAATGAATTTAAATTAAAATCAAAACGTTTTAATATATCTGACAAAAAATGCAGATACTAAGCCATTGAAAACGGCTGCGGCGAGTCGCCGATAGTTATAATGATTTAAAGCTGCCAATTTTATATGTTTGTATGGTAACGCCGTATTAAATTAAAAAGTTAGGCAATTTGTGTCGATTGTTGAAATATCGGCAATTCTGAGGCAAAAATCGGAAAATCGGCATTTTCCATTTTTAGAGTGAAAAATCGTCAAAATGCCGATA